CAGGCATGGGCCAGGGGGGACAGATGTGGAGACCGGAGGACAGGTGTCTGGGGTGCAGGATGGAGCTGCACTGCATGGGATGGACAGTGGTCTAGCACAAGGTGACAGGAAACCATGAAGGCTCTGCCTCTTTGTGAAGACTTATGTGTTTAGGAATTTGCACCCAGTCAATAAAGGATGTGGATGTCAATGAAAAAGGACACAGGAGCTTCCAGGGCTCTGCACTTATTTCTCAGAACTAAGGCTCCTAAGACCAAACCCTCCCAGACCACCTGTCTAGGTCATTGTCCTGGAGTACAGATGTGCAAGGAAAATACAGTAAGTGTTTACCTTAGAAAAGTATTACACAGAAGATGCATTGTTCTGAATCCCCCTCAGAATCCTCCCTCTTGCCTGGAGCACTCTTATCCCGTGTCCTTGTCCTTCCTGCAGCAGCTCTGGAGTCCTCTTTCCCGAGTGTCTGCAGTTGTGGTGTCCTGGCTGCCTCCATGACCTGAATCCATTCCAAATGCTTCCCTTTCATGGTCATTTTGACTTTGGGGCAGAGCCAGACGTCACCTGGTGCCAGACCTGGTGAATCAGGCGGAGGAGGACAGTGCTGTGTTCTCACTCGGCTGCCTTCCTGCCAGGTGGCACTGGGCAGCAGCGTCCACTGTATTTTTTATCACATCTCACAATGACACTCATGAAAAAGGACTTCCGGAACTGCCTCAGAAAGTGGCAAGAGCAAGAACAGAGGATCAGTGTGACTGGAACAGGGGAGAGCCCCTTGGGGTTCACGGTAATGTGCCTTTTACTGTGGTCAAGTTTGAAATGTAAACATTGACCCTGCTTTCCATCCCCCTTGAGTACATATGACAGCACTGTGACTCTAAGTTTTTACAAAATGATACTCTCTTTCTACTGTGATATACTCAGATACATCCTCGGGTTTCCTGTGTTATTTCACTGAGATAATTGCAGACTATGTTGACTCAGCTGATTTTCAACAGTAGCAAAAGTTTACTTGGAGGAGTTGCAGTGGTAGACGCTTTTGCAAGTTACTGGCTTCACAGAGAATGGCTCACCGCCCAGACCTGCTTCTGTGGTCCACTCTGCTGCCACCCGCTCTTCCTAGTCCCTGGGAAACACCGCTGTGCTCCTGTGAGACAATGGGAAACATCTCTATGGGCTGCCGGTGCTGGCCCTTCCCCAAAACTCCCCTGGACCAGGGAAGTAATGAAGGGCACAGGAGGTCGTGGTGGCGGAGCAGGTGGGGGTGTCTCTGCCCTGAGGTCCATCATGAGGGGGGCTGCAGCTGCCCCTCCCCAGACTGTGAGGAATCTGTTTCGATGGTTTAAGCCCCGTCTAAAGCATTTGCTAATGGCCACTCCCAGGCAACCTCTTCCTACCACTGAGAACCCACTTTGTCCTAAGTCCAGGGAGGAGGATCTTCATGTGGAAGCAGTGGTTTGGTTAGAGTACAGGGTCCTCCACCCGGCAGAGGGCTGTGTTTCCCAGCTGTGGCTATCCCGTACCTTCGCTGGCTTCTCCGCAGGTCACTGCTAAATGCCATCCCCAGGGCCATTCTTTCTCTCTTCCCGTTCTCCCTTCTGCCTCCCGGATTGATCTCTGTAGAGGCTGCAGTGAACTGAAAACACGGGAAGCAGTCATTCTGCTCCGGCAGAAAACCTTTCCGTGCCGTCCCATCCCGCTGTGGCTTTCTACATTTTAGCCCCAGAGGCCCTCATCAGAGCCCTCGATGCCACAGCCACCTCTGCTCGGCATGTTCTTTTCCACTGTCCCCATGCCTGTGTCCTTCCCGTGGTCCTTTAGGCCCAGCTGGAGCGCCGCTCCACATGCATGCCGTCCCGGGTGTCCCCGGGTCTGGTTCCTCAGTTACACTCAGAACAGCCACGTTTCCCTCTGAGCGTTTACTTCGTATTAAGCACCTGCTTTTACAGTTCCAGCACCTTCTACAGGTTGGGCACAGCACAGCTGCCCAGTCAATATTGAAGAAATTAATGAATGAAGGTGATCACTGCTTTTACCTACCATCTCATCCCTGAGTTACAATCACTCAGCTAGTCTGCTTAGAGTTTCCCAGGAAATTCGAAACAGCTCTAGAGTTTTTCTACTTTTATTAAAATACTTTAGGAATGCCAATAGAAATCAAGAATCACAGCAAGGTAGTCTTGCTCTGACACACTTGTAAAAAGAAAAAAAAAATCACACCTACTCCCATGCAAAAGTTCTGGGCCCTTTGTTAGTCATCCATAATTTTCTTTCTTTGTTTTCTTTTCTTTTTCTCCCAGAAATTCAGTGTAAGCCATGGCTACTGTGGCCTGGGTTTTGCAAAATATTTATCTTGGAACATTCTCTCATTGGTCTACCATGCTCTTTCTGAGAGCTTCTATTACTTCTGCAGTCACAACGACTATGAGAACAATGTAGCTAACTCTCCAGCCTAAATGTCCCGGGCATCAACTTCATGCGACAGACACGCATGCACACGTAGCTCCAAGCCAGCCAATAACAGACCCCGCGTCCAGAAATGGTGTCCGCTTCTTCATGATCCTCCGGCAGGCTGGGGTCACAGTGCTTCGTGGGGTATTAGATACCCAAGAGACGCAAAAAAAGTCTAACCTTTCATTGGCTACTGCATTGTAGCTCGACCCTGGCAGCTCATACTGCTTATGCGGTAACATTTTGTTAATAACAATAGTTTGATAACCGCAACATCTGTCTCCCCCGTCCTCAGGCAAATGGAATAAATGTTCATCAGGTGCCCTTCAGTGTTTTACAGGAGAGATTTGAAAAGGTTCGATAGTTATCTCGAAAACTTAAGCTCTGAAAGGAGCTGCAAAATAACCCCACTGACCAAGGCCGGGTCCCTCACTCCCTCTGGCTAAAAGATGGGTGGGTTGGGCGCAGCGTCCGACTTCACTCCTGTTTGTTACCCTGGACTCACTGGCGCCACCTTGAGCCTGTGGAGTCTGACGCTTCCCGTTCCTGCCCCCCATCCCAATTCCATCTCCGGAACCAGCTCCCCACTGCTGCTCACCGCCCCTCTGCCACCGCAGGGCCTCCTGGAATCTCGTTCCTGCTGTGTGCGTGTAGGGGGACCAGTTGCTTCCCCCTAGTAAAGTCAAAATGTCCATTTTCCTCCAGAATCACAGGGAGGGATGTGTTAAACAGTTGTGCTACGGAGTATTCTCTCACCTCTGTTTACCTGGCTCCCTTGGCATCCTGCTGTATAACCTGGCAGTTGTAGTACGTAGTTCACTACAGGTAGCAATAAGAAGTCAGGAGAATTTGCTCCAGTTTTCAGTGTGGCACCAGGAGAGAAGCCTCCAACATTAAAATGAGGTTCGAAGTTCTTTAAAATCAATGTAGTCAGTTTGGGTTTTGTTTCCCGGTGAAACAGTTAAAAGAAAAAAAGAAAATATCTAGCTGAAGCACACATTATGATCTTTCCCAAATAGTATAAACTCTTATTATTTATATAAAGCAAGACTAGCAACCAAACAGAAGTCTTCTGTGCAGAAGGGCTGCAGATACGGAACGTGGAAATTACTAGGGCGCTTCTCCCTCACCCTGCTGTGTCCTCCATTGTGGTCCTCTGTGTGTAGTGATAATTCATAGATGTGAATAAAGAGCTCTCTGTGCCCATTTCTTCCTCTGATGCCCAGAGAAGCTTCCTTCTGATACGGAAGATGATCTGTCTCTCCCATCTCCCCATGCTGTTTGCAGTGGACCTTCAAGTTACAAACAGCCTGACATACAAACAACTTGGGTTAAGACAGGAATTTTAGCTTTAACTTATGAACAAAGTCTTGAATTATGACCTGAATACCAGCCACTTGTGCTTCCAGATGGACCCCAATGCAGATTTAACCCTTAAAGTGTTCTGGAAGGAACATGACAGCATCCTTTCCCTTATGGAGCTACCTGGGAAATCCTGGGCCAGTGTCTCTCTAGGGACACTGAGATCTGCCTGTGCGCAGGAAAGAGACTTTGAAGGATGTGTAGAGCGACTTGAGCCTTCAACTGACCAATCTGAGTTACAACCAGAACCTCGTGAAAAAAACTGAGTTTGTAAGTCAAGGGTCCGCTGTATACCAGATTAAATACACTCCGCTACTACTTACTGGACACAGAAGATATATCTGCAAAGCTGAGTTTTTGAAACAAAAGGAGGGTGAGACCTGCCAAAATACTAAAGCCAACAGCCACTTGCTAAAATTCCTATTCACGGTTACCAGATTTTATGGATTCTGTTCTTGAAATTCAAATAAAAGTCTGTATGTGTTAAGATATGAGAGGAAGCGCAGTGATTACCACGGGTACAAGTGGAACTCAGGGGCCAGGGCACAGTCACACAGTCAGGTCACCCAGGAAGAGCGGGTGCGTGGCTGGATAACTAAAATCAATAGACTCAAAATTGTATTTCTCTCGCTGACATATTCTAGCACCACCCTAACACAGCATGCTTTTGCTCTTTTTCCGAAGCGGAGAGACACGCGGGGGTTTCCTGCGTCACCGCCTCGGTGGATGACATTCAGTTTGAGGAGACAGCAAGGTGAGTGGCTGTCCCCTCTTGGGCTCCTGGTCCACTGGTGGCTGCTGGTGCAGCGCCTCTTGGTTTGGGCTCAGTGGTACTGTTTGTTAACAAAATAAATAACACTTGAGCAATCTCACTTCGTCAAGACAGAGCCACGAGGCCCACTCTTAGTACTGTAAGTTACTTTGTTGAGAAGCAATACCCTTGGGTGGGTTGTGGGGGCCTCACAAGCTGTGGGTAATCAGTCCCTGTTGGGTGTTTCCTCTCCCAAGGAACTGCTAAAGATAAGTATCTCTGTGGTGGTGAATTTCATCCTTAGGTTCTGGTAAATACTGATTGGTCTGGAGAGAGATCGTGAAGTACAGAAAAGATTTTGTACTGAGATTGCTTATGTGCTTTACTAACTCTCAGTGTAAAAAAATTTCAAGACAAATAATTCAGACATACAAGGGATGATCAAAATATACAGGGAATGTTGAAATTAAAAATCTCTAAAGACACATTGCCATTCATCCCCCTCAAAATGTAAAAGTATATAACCTTAGAGAGAGAAAAATCAGGGCTCATTTAGAAAACCTAGCATAATCATAGTCCCTGTTCTTTGAAGTTACTTGATATAATCCTCTTCCTCGTGATTAAACTACTAACTCCACTATACTTGAGTTTATGTACTTCTTTTTAGGGTAGCTTTTCTTTTAAGTTGGTAATGTTAATTATTTTTAAATTTTTATCGGTACTTTTTATATGCATAATGATAACATTCATCATAAAAAAATTGTACTGTACATGTTATCTTGCTTTTTCTTTTTCTCCATTCCCCTCCCCTCCCTTCTAGGATTCCTTTCACTTCAGTTTTATTTTGTCTTATAATGTAAATCACATATGAGTACAAGGCTCAAATTTGGAAAACAGATGCATTTGACCCTGGGAATTTTAGCTTCTACCTGGTTTCTATCTAGGCCTCTCCCTGTCTCTATAAGTAAACACTTTATTTCTTTTCTGACTTATCCATTTGCTTTTTAAATGTAAGCAACTATTCATGTGTACATATAGTGTTTTAAAACAAATTTCAACACTCTGCGTTATGGCTGTGTCTAGGTGTCCCCCAAAGCCTCATGTGGTCAGTCATAGGTGTTCTTTTTCGGAGGACAGAGGGGGATTCTGGAGTGACCCTTACAGGTGGCTGAATCTGGTGTACAGTGTTGGCATTAAGGGTGGGTGGTTACTAAATTGGTACATTGACTGGTTTGGCATGGGCCCAACTAATCCTGTTAGCCTAGATACAATATAAAAGGGGCAAAAAGAAGCTGCTAAGGTGCCTTGCTTGCTCTCACCTGCCTGCTTGCCGTGGACTGTTTCTGCTCTTTGATGCCCTTCTGCCACGCCACCCTGCCTTGGAGCCAGAGGATTACTAACTGAAACCTCTACAAACTGAGCGTTGCTCCTTTAATGGTGGGTAATGGTTATTTTGTATCAGCAACAAGAAAAGCACTAAAACAATATGCTTTTCGCCACATCATTTTTTTTACTTAATATCATATCTAGAAAATCAGTCCGTGGCTATGTACTCGTCGTTTTTAATAGCCGCATAGGTGCTGTTGTGGTTTAGACCACGAGTGACCCCAAACTCATGTATTTGGAAGGTGCCTTGATCATGGGTGCTCTACTCACTGGGGGATGGACTCACCCAGTGGCGGTCTCCGTAGCCGGATGTGCTGTTAGCGGCAGGGCCTGGTTAGAGCTGGCCTATAGGGTGCATCTCCCCGCAGCCCCTCTTTTCACTCTGCTTCCAGCCCCTAAGGCCTGGGCAGCTCTCCTCCGCCGGCCTCTCTGCCACCCCCTTTCTACCTTGGAGCCAGCCAGCCGGGGCCTGTGACCACGACCCCAGATCAAGCTCTCCCCTTTACTCTGTGGGTGATGGGTGCTGTGACCCAGCGCTGGGAACGTGGCTAAGACAGATGATGCCTTCGTTTCTCGAGCAGGTCCCAGTCAGTGAGCGCTGAGATGGTTTCCAGCTTTTGCTATCACAGGTAGTAAGTACTTCAGCGGCAGGCTTGTGTCGGTGTATCTCATATTCTCTTGCCTGTGTGTTTTTGGGATAGATTCCTAAAGTAGGATTTCTGAGTCAAAGGGCAAAGGCACGTCGTTTTACTGGACGGAGCTGCATTCCTCCCCGTGGGGTCTGCTCTGTGGGCTGTCTCACTTTCTGCACTAGTAAAACGAGGCTGACGTTTTACCGTCACAGTGGGACTGTGCTAGAATTGCAGCTTTGCAGCACACAAACTCGTGACGTAAGCACTCCTACTTGGATGTGTTCCAGTTCTTTCCTGCAGTGCTAGACTCTGACAGTACACAGAGCAGGGTGCCTGGGCTGAGCCTCCATCAGGCGGTTCATTCCTTAGGGGAGCCGGTGAGTCTCTGAGGAGCCCTCTGCAGCGGCTAGAACAGGAGGCTGAGTAAGGGAATTGCTGTCAGGCCATGGAGCCAGATACGCCAGGATCTGGACTCTGACCAGGGGCTGCTGTCCTGCCCTCTAAGATCACTTCTGGGTGTGAGTGGAGCGGTGATAACTCAGCCAGCCTTGCTGGACGCCCGCTTGGCGAGTGACGCGTTGTTAGACATGATATGAGGCATGCGGCGTAGTGCCTGACTTACACACCTCACTGACAGAGGACGGCCGTCGTCACTAATGTGGCCACCCAGAAAAAGAGGACTTCACTCAGCTATGGACTAGGGCTTTATTGTTAGTGAACTTTCAATAATTCTTTTTTAATCATTTAGACTTTCTCGTGCACACACCAGTGTCGCAAACACTGCCCTCCTCAAAGTCCCCAGCCTTGTCCTGATTGTCACTGTACCTTACAGTCCAGGGTTAATCATAACTCAGTGAATATTTGGTAAATGTAGAAGTTTGAAAATCAATGATTCCTCTAGGAAGCTTGAATATGAAGAAGAGAAAAACTCATGACATAGAATAGGTTTGAGGGAAAAGTTTCTTAGAAGGAGAAGCCTTGAATATTTTCAAAGACTGAAAAAGAGTGAGAGAAGAAGGCGGGTGAATGAGGAAAGAGGTGACTGGCAGGGCAGAGCGGTGACCCGCAGCGGTGACGGGCAGGGAGGGGTGGGGCAGGAAGGAGGTGGGCGTGAGAGGATCGGCCTTTCTTCCACTGAGACAAAAGATTGGATAAGACAGCGAGACCTTGAGTTCAGGGAGAAAGACGGAGGCAGCTTCTTCTGGCAGACTCTGAACTTCTGAGTCCCTAGGTAAAGGGACCAGAAGTGCCGAAGGGCCTGAACTCGACAGTCTGGAGCGAATGGGTCATCTAGCAGCATCCAGGCCTGTAAGCCTAGGGAAGCTGACCAGCTCGCCAGCTTGCTTGCCTGTGTGCGAGTTTATCCATTGATCTATGCACTAACATTTAAAAATAAATGTCAGTTGCATAGGTTTGCCTGTGTGTTTGTCTGAATTTCCTTTAGGAAAAGGGCTGTTAAAGGGCAAAGTATCTGTTGCAAATTTGGAGCCTCCTTGCATACAGTCTTTGCAGAGTGCCTTTCTGCCAGTTAATGTTGCAAGAGACTTACAGGGACCAGAACCTGTCCTTAAGCCATGTCTTTTTTCTTATCGCTAACCAGAATTTTCCATGCATGAACATTATCAGTGCTGTGCTTATATCTGGATGTCACCCCCAAAGGTTCCAGCTCTCAGAGGCAGGGCTTGTGGAAGGGAACTGGATTATGGGATCACTACAGCGGGCGTGATATTGGGAGGCGGGGCCTGGTCAGGAGAGTCAGTCACTTGGAGTGTGACCTGGAAAAGCACATCTCTCTCCCCCACGCCTTCCTTTGCCATGACCCCAGAAAAAGCTCCCCTCCATGAAGCTGTGGTGTTGGGTCTGTGTCTCAGGGTGAAAAAGGAAGACGATCAGCTTGTGCTACTGCCTTGTGGCATTCGCATTTAAGGGTGTTTTCACTCTGAATTGAAATGTTCTGAGAATGCTGTTTTGTTATTATTTATTTATTTATTTTTTACTAGAGTTGGGCAAGTTCTAACCATCAAAGCAAAAGTTACCAGAGCCTTCAACACCAGCATGGAGGTAAGAAGCCCCCTTTCCTTGGCTGTGTCTGTCGGTGCTCATCTGTTCAGTGTTTAGAGCACGGAGGGGGTTCTGGAGCGACCCTTGCAGGTGGTGTGATTCTGAAGGTCGCGCCTGCGTGACCCCCTGCGACACACCCAAAAGCGTGGGTCGCCATTACCTTGGTGTCTCGAAAACCAGACAAATGGACAATCAACTCTCATATTGTGTTTAAACTATTTTCGTTTAACACGGTTATTGACATGGCATGGTTTAAAACTATCATCTAGCTGTTTGTTTTCTATTTGTTGCATTGTTTCTTGTTCCTTTCCCCCATCTTTTCCTGTAATTTTTAGAATGAGTAATTTTTAGTAATCCATCTTGTCTTCTTATTGGTGTTTTCGTCGTATCTGTTTATTTAATTTTTAGTGGTTGTTTTAGGACTTACAAAATGCGTATTTATCTGAGTCTACATTCAAATAATATTGAATCCTTTAGGAGTAGCTTAAGACCTAGTGGCAGTTGGCTTCCCTTCCTGTGACTTTACCATCACGCCTTTCAAATCCACACATGCTAAACGTCGCACAACATGTGGTTATTGTTTTAGCTTTACAAAGTCACTCTTCGAAGAGAATAAAAATGAGAGAAATGTATTTTATATCTTGCTACAGATCTGCCATTCCTGGTGCTGTTTCATTTCCCCTCTGTCTGAAGATATTCTTTTAATATCTCTTATACTGTAAATCTGGTGGTGGATTTTTCCAGCTTCTATCTGTATGGAAGTTTCATTATTTCCCTGACATGTTTGAAAGATGTTTTCACTGGGTACCGAATTCTGGTTTGACAGTGATTTCCCGTCTTGCAGTCCTTTAAAAGCTGTCTCCATTGTCTTTGGGCCTGCATAGTTTTCTGAGAAGTCTGTTGTTTTTCTTATATTTGTTCCTCGTACATAGTATGTGTGTATTTTAAAATTTTGGTTGTTTAGTATTTTCTTGCCACTTGTTTTCAGTAATTCAGTTATGATATGCCTTGTGATTATTTTCACAATTAGTTTTGTTTGGGTTTTTTTTTAAAATCTTCTAGATCTGTAGATTTATAGTTTCTAATAGATTTGGAATTTTTTCAGCTATTGTATCTTCGTACATTTTTTTCCTGTGGCCTGTGCTCTGTGTTATTTTGGAGTTTAGAATTCTAGACCACTGATTAGTGTCACTAATGCTCTGTTTCCTTTTCCTCTGCGTCTTTAACTCTCCCCTCCCTCTGTATAGTGGCCTATATTTGTATTTCTGGAATTCTTTCTTTCAGTAGCTCCTTCCTCTCTGCTATGTTGCCCAATAGCTGCCCCAATCACCTTGATCTCTGGCTCCTCCAATCAACAGTTAAGTTTCCCTTCCCTGATTATCGTCCAGGAATTACCTTCCAGTGGGAGCCCTGGAAGGGTGGTTTTCCTCTCCTTTGTCTCCCATTCCCCAAGAACACAGTCTTGTATCTCATTTTCCTATGTGTGAAGATAGTTGCTGATATTTTGTCCAGTTTTCTAGTCTTTTTATGGGATGTCATTCCAGTCTTCCTTGCGTAGTATGGTGAGATTCCCCTTGCTTAGGTTTTGGTTGTTTTTATTCTGTTAGATATTTTATTTTCTACTTGCCATCTCTCTAACTTGGAAAGCACTGTAGCATGTGGATGAGTTGGGGGATTGGGAATAGATTAGCTAAACGTGATTAATCCACACCTGGTTGTCTTAGAATTTATCAGGCAAGTACTAATTTGTGTTTTTAAGTGTCCTAAAATGATTCATAGGTTGTTACTTCTGTACACAATGCACCCAGTACAGAGGTGGAAACAGGTTTCATCACTGACTGCACCGTGATGCACTCAGATGCCTGAGTCTGTCCATGATTCCAGGAAGACAGCATCACTTAAATCTAAAGACCAGCACCAAGTGTACCCACATTCTTGTGGTGTGCACACCAGAGAGAAGATGAACTTCAGAGCCCTTCACACAAGGGTGGGGCAGGGGGTCCAGGCCTGCACAGCATCCTCCCATGGTGTCTCAGCTACCTTCTCACTGACCCTGAAAAACAGAGCAAGGGAGCCCCACTGAGGGTAACACAGCTGAGTCCTGCCCTGCCATCCTGGTTGTAACAAGCAGAGGATAAAGATTAAAAATGCTTTGAAGTCAGGCATGGTGGCACACGCCTGTAATCCCAGCACTTGGGAGGCTGAGGCAGGAGGATCGCTGTGAGTTCAAGACCAGCCTGGGCTACATAGTGAGTTCCAAGTCAGTCTCAACTACATAGTGAGACCCTGTCTCAAAAAAAAAAACCCAAAAATGCTTTGATACATCTCAGATATGACGTATAAGATGGTCCTTAATACTTGTTTTCAAAAGTGTATCTGCCAATAATGAGACCAGATGATGCTTATCACCTTGTGCCAAATTATGAGTTAGGATATGAATCTGCAAACACACTGATCATTTAATAGTGTTTGTACACATATATGCATTTATAGAATAGGTATTTCATATTTTATATGTACAGCATTGTATGTGTGTATAACTGGAAGAAAATTCACCTAAAGATTAATAATATAAGGGCCGGGGATTTAGCTCAGTGGCTCTGCCACCTGCCTCACAAGGGCAAGGACCCAAGTTCGATCCCAGTACCAAAAAAAAAAAAAAGAGATTAATAATATATCTCTGGGTGATTGGACTACTGATAATATTTAGTATGAGGAGTCAGATCCCATAATTTTTTCATGATAAATGTATAAATTTCCTATCATCAGGGGAAAAAAGTATTTGTCCAATTTTGCATAATTTTTTTTTTGTTGTTCTGGGGATCAAACTCAGGACCTTACACTTTCATGGTAGGCACCAGAATCACTGAGCTAAATTCCCAGCATGGCATAACATTTTTGAAAGAATAGTATTGGTTAAAAATTCATGAAAATGTGAATTTCATTTTTTAAAAAAAGACAAGATTGATGCAGTGTGTAACCAAATCTTGACAGCTGCAACCAGGTTTGCTATGGGGACAGCTCAAAGTGTGTTTATTTTCTTTTCCTGCAGATAAGTATCAAGGTTATGGTTCAGGACATGCTCACTGGCATTGAGAAACTTGTGAGTGTCGCTTTCTCCACATTTGTGGCCAAACCAGTTGGAGAAGAAAAGGTGAATCTTTTATGTGAAGAGCTCTTTCTTCATGTAGAACTGTTTCTTCTTACTGTGAGGCTCGCTTGCTCAAATTTTGTTGTCAGCAGTATTTACTGCAAAGCTATCTTTCTCTGATAACATCATTGTATTAAGTAGTAAGATCCTTAAAGGAAAGAAGACATACTTTAGTCATGAAAAAGAAAAAAAAATACAATTTTTAGCAGTACTGGGCCTTTGCACAACACCCCCAGCCCTTTTATTTTTCATTCTGAAAAAGGGTCTCACTAAATTGCCTAAGTGGATCCTCCTTCCTCAGCCTCCTTCAGTGCTGGCATTACAGGTGTGAACTGCTTTCCCCAGCTGAAACAATTATTTTTAAAAGATCCTACAGCCACATTGGTTTCTCAAAAATATTGCTTACTGCTTGAGTTCTTTCCATTTGCAGTTATGTAACTCAAAATTGAGTTAAAAGAAATTGTTAAAAGCAGGAGCAATTTAGCAAGCAGTTGCATGTTAGGATCCAGAAGGAAAACATCAAAATTGCTGAGTAATTGAAGTTTAAAAAAACAAGTCCTGGGGCACCTGGGGTAAAAACCACGCCCTTCTGAGCACTACTCGTGTCCTGATGTGCAGGCCTGGCCCTGCGGTGGACCAGACCTCTCCCCTGTAGGCACAGGGAGGTCCTCATTCCCTGCCCGTGTAGGTTGGTGCCTGGGGCACTTTGCACTTCAAGCATCCCAAGGAACATCCAAGACATTGCATCAGCTCTCACCAAAGGTAATGTTTTTCTGGGAATCTCTCCAGATCTCTAACCTCTGGGGATGAGAGAATTACAGGGTGGACACAGAGTTCCCATCTCTGAGCCAGGTGACAGGAGGGTTCACACATGGCCACCCCACAGCTTCAGATGGAGGAGGAGGGTCACCCTCCCCACCCCCGGCCTCCGACTCCTCACCCTGCAGCTGTGTGGCTGCCTCTCCCGGGCCTAGTCCTCACAGAATCCTCCAGGTAGCCTTTTTGGGAAGTCAGCACCTTGTGGTGTCGCTGCAACTGGTGACTCAAACAGCCTGGCTTTAAAGCACCTTCCCACACTCACTCCTGGTGCAGTTGGTAACATCCTTGTTCAGTAGCTCTTCCTGCAGAGCACTTTGCCAAAGGAATGGTTTGGTTTGAACCAACAGGACCACCTGGATCTCGGTCTAAAGTAAGTTTACCCCAGGACACAATTGGCAATGATTAACAGACATGGGTCAGGCCACTGTAAGGCTGCAAAGAGGTTCATGGGGTCTGCTCACCCAGGTTTACAGAAGCTGGAGGAGAAAGAAGGCACTGGCCAACACCAGAGAGGTTCTACCACAGCTGCCCCTACTTCACAGGTCCTTTACAGTCACACGTGTGGATTAGGAGTCACCAAATATCTGCAAGATGCCTTGGTTTCAGGACAGCCAAAGCACAAAGACTTCACCGAGCAGGCTTTTATGCCTTGCTGGTCACGCAGCTGAGACAAGATTAGTGAGGTTATAACCAGCAGAAGCCATCAGTGCACACGTTCCCGATCAGGTTGGACTTGGCAGTCCAGGGGTGCTTGACCTTAAGCAGCCTAGGAGGAATCACTGGCTTATTTCATGCCTATCTGGGCCAAGGGTCAGGACCAGAACCAGGTGTCCTTTTGCACAGGGTCAGCCAATAGCCACCTGGGGAGGAGGCTGAGCCCTGAGTTCTGTGGTGCCAGAGGTCCAGGTTCCTGGAGGTCACTTGGTTTTAACACATCGATCCATTCAAATAATTTCTCCAGGTCCTTTCCAGTCCCTTGCTTTGATGTCCTATCTTTACAAAAGATAGGAGACATTTCTTAGTCCTTCTGCTCCTTCCTCCATCTAGAGAATTTCATAAAGATGTTTAAATCAAGGAAAATAAATGGGTTAAAGTACATCTTACTAGATGAAAGAATAAGTAAACTGGGGCTGGGGATTTTGCTCAGTGGTTCTGCCACCTGCCTCGCAAATGCAAGGTCCCAAGTTCGATCCCCGGTACCAAAAAAAAGATCAAACCTATGCTGATTTTTTAAAATTTAAAAATATTTTAAGAAAAAATTTAGTCAGTACATGTTCCATAAAAGTACCCTTAAAAGCATGTTACAAAATCATGTGGTATAAAATTTGTTCTTGTGAAATGTGTGGTGTGCTTTCATAACAAAGCAACGAAAGACCAGTGTTTTTCTTTCTCTAGATTCATTTAAAACCAGTCAGACTCCTGACTGAACAAGATTGCATGGAACATGATCTGGCTTCCGAGAGAAGGAAAGTTCGATTGCAACATGAAGATACCTTCCAGAGCTTAATGCAGGAAAGCAGCAAGTTTGAAGGTCAGTAATGTCGTTCAAAGGGCTTCCCGAAGGGCAAGGGAAGGTGGATTTCATGTCACAAGTCAGCCCTGGGCTTCAGTGAACCCCGGGTCTGGAGAAGGCCGGGATGGCCGTGCTGACAACAGTGGTGACCCCCAAGTCCTCCCTGTGTGGAGGAGTCGGGGGAACGGTGGGACTGAGGGACCGGGCAGTTGGTGATCCCTGTAACTCAGGCCTCTCTGTTGGTAAAGCAGTTTTCAAAGGTTTCCACCTCAAGGAACTGAAGATGGTAGAGCTGAAGGGAGCTCAAGGTCTAGGGCAATGGAATAAACTGGTCCCGAGCCCAGACTCATCTGGGAGACTGAGATCATCACAGAGGGACTATCAGGCCCAGGAGAAAAGACGATTCCTGTCAAGCCTGTACTTCTGGGGCCTGAAGTGTTCGTTATTTGCCTGCCACTGAAAGGGAAGGCTACCCCTGAGTTATTTTGGAGGAAATGAAGCCTCTATCATCCTATCATCAATGACTATGCTCAGAAGAGTGAGTCTCCCTTTGAAAATATGTTAGATGCATTTCTTCTAAGTAATGAAATAGGTGGATGGCGAGGACAGCCCGAAGGCAGATCAGACAACTGTGCATAAAAAGCAAGACCCACATGGCAGCAACCCCACATGAGCCCTGCGAAACTCTCCCCGGGAAATGCCAGGGAAGGACTGAAGTGACAGACAGGCCCGCACTGACCTAACCCTCACCAGCGTTACATGCAGATCTCCCAGGTGTGGGTGGAGAATGCAAGCCTTACTGTCCCCTGGCTGTGCAAGGGAATCTGCATGTGTGACTTTTTAAAACCCTGCTGTCCTTGTTGGAATTATAATACCCGCATTTATAAGGAGAAAGTAGAAAGAGCCAGTACAAAGCCAAAAATACTTCTTTGGTGAGTAGAAAAGACTTCTGGATTCTGTGCTGCTTTATCCAGAGACCTTTCAGGAATTTGCTTCCACTCTCACTCATGCCTCATCTGAACCACATGCCCCAAGATTATTCTCCACCCCTGAAACCTGGAACCATCTAGGGCCAGCAACTTCCCCTAGGGAAGGTCTCGCTGTGCTGGGAAGGCTGGCCACCTTGGCCCAGTGCTTGCTGGAGGACATGAACATGTGATGGTGGATAGGATTGTGTACAGCCATGTGGGTGGACAGGTGGATGGGTGGAGGGGTGGGTGGGTGAGTGGATGGATGGGTAGGTGGGTGGAGGGACGGATGGACTGATGGAGGAAGGGGCGTGTGTGTGGTTTGATGGATGGATGGAGGGGTGGGTGGAAGGATGGGTGGATGGATGGATCGTCTCCTTTCTTCTAAGCAGCAAGCAAGGAAAGAATAACACACTCCCTGCCAGTTTTATCCAACAGACGTGTCCTAAACATGCCCCAGGTGCCAAGAATAGGCTTGCTGCAAGAGGCAGAAGGAAGAACAATGCTGTCTTTGTTCTTGGAAAACTCATTTAGTGCAGAGACAGATGCATTAGTAGTTTCAAAGAACTAGACAGGTATAGACTCCAAGCACTGTGGATCCAGAACAGGAGCTCTTAAGATTTTGAGGAAGACCTCTGGGGAAGCGAGATAAGCAAGTGACAGCATGAGCAAGGGCACTGCGGCACATTTCAACAGGCTGCAGGCTAGGGACACCTTCACTCAAGACGGACAAGGCAGGTGGTGAAGCGGCTCAGCTGTGAGCGGAGGCCTCCCAGGCCTGTGAGGGGGCTTGGCCTCCCTACTGTCCCCTGCAGGGGCCCCTGCACACGTCCAGCAGGGATGTGGCATGGTCAGTCTCACACTTTATCCACTGGATACAGCTGAGGTCTAGGGAGGAGGCCACGCCTGGGTGAGGGTGCCAGACTGGGGCAGGGGTCTCGAGGAGAGGAGAGGAAGGAATCAAACATGTGCAAGGTCCAATGGGCAGGGCAGGGTCACGGCTGCACAGAAGGCGGTGAGGAAGAAGGACAAGCGTGTGTCGCCACTCTGAGGTTCTGGTTTGAGCGGCCGGGTGGGGTGGCGATGGCTCAGTTTCAGGCCTGCGGACCCTCTTGGAGGAGCCCAGGCTGGGGGCACAGTGGGCAAGAAGTGACAGTTCACACGCAGGCCGTCCGCGCCGACACCCAGGGAAGCCCACAGGCGCAGTGTCTGGGAGATGCCAGAGGAGGAGGGCGGATGGACGGGGGCGTCGGGGGCTCGATGAGCAGAGGGCAGGGCCCTGCCCAGGGATTCACTGAGGAGGACGTGGGCGGCCACGGCGTCCCAGTAAGTGAAGGGTAAACCTGTCCCCAGGTCGGCGTCGATGTGGCCCCTGGTGACCCTGGCATGAGCGCATGTGGGGTGCAGCAGGGGGACACAGAGGCGACTGTGAGGCAGGCGGAGGAGACAGGCAGCGACAGCTTGCTGTGATGGCTGTCACCTTCCCGTGCGCAGCTCAACCTCACGCGAGGGTTTTTAAGTCTGTCCACCCAGAGCAGGTGGGTGCAGTCATGGGTCCTCCTGCCGTGACAGCCACATCCGGTACAGGGGCTGTGGGTGGAGAGGGTCACAGCGGCCAACGCAGATCCAAGAGCAGCGGGGCCACTCAGAGCCTCTGCTTTGAGGGAAACTGAGGTAACTTCCCGCTGTCTGGACCATACTCCTGTCTGCTTAGCTACCAAGCAAGGGGAAACTTACCCAAAGCAGACCCCGAACTGGAGGCTGGAGGCGCTGGCGTGATGTTCTCCTGTCGGGACAGACGGGTTAGCGCGGAGGGACTGCTCAGAACCGCGGGGCACAGGGGTGCCCGCCTCTGTCACCTGGCTGTCCCTGCTCACAGGAGCAGTTGGACGTGGCCGCCCAAAGCTGGACTTTGAAGTATTTTCATCTTTATTAGTAGGCGCCTTCCTGGCGCAGAGCTGGCGCGTTCACAGCGACCTCAGCTCCCTGCTCCCTGCCCCGCCCTCTCTCAATCCGCTTCCCTTTTGCGAAAGCTGTCTCCCTGTGTCCTAGCATCTATCCTCCACTTTGCTCTTTATGTTTTGGGTTTCTCATATAAGAAAGCCCATGTGATATTTAAGCTGTGCGTCTGGCTCATTTCACTTAACATGAATGGCCTCAAGGCGCATCTGTTTTCCTCCACATGACTCAAGGTCATCCTCGTTTGTGGCACAGTGGTGCTCCATGGTGTGTGAACGCCACGTTTTCCTTACCCACTCTCCTCCTGATGGACACACAGGCTGCTTCCGAGATACAGCTGCAGTGAGTTGTGCTGCTGCAGACATGGAATAGTTATGAAGGCTGGGCTTTGGAGGAACCTGGCTGCGCAGAATGACAAGGAGAACCTCAGTGTCTGTGGATGTGATTTCTCATGTAAAGAGTTGGAAGTGGAATGTTACTGGGTTTTAAGAAAAGAAACTATCAAAAGTATGATCCAGGAACAGAAAGATAGCCTAGAAGTTTGGGCAGGGAATTTCTATGAGAAATAGTGATTAAAATTCTAAATTCAGCTGGTTGTGGTGGCACACGCCTGTAATCCCAGCACTCGGGAGGCTGAGGCAGGAGGATCGCTGTGAGTTCGAGACCAGCCTGGGTGGGCTACATAGTGAGTTCCAGATCAGTCTCAACTACACTGTGAGACCCTGTCTCAAAAACAAACAAACAAAAAAATTTCTAAATTCAGTGAAGGAATGAAACATTAAATATTAGTAATTGGATATTTTAACATTTATTTGTTTATTTATTTTTATTTTCTGGTACTGGGCATTGAAGCCCGGGCCCTTGCACTGGACTACATCCCTATCCCTTTTTTTGTGTGGATTTGAGACAGGATCCTGCCAAATTGCCTAGGTTGGGCTCAGAAACGTAACCCTCCTGCCTAAGCCTCACAGAGTGCTGGGATTACGACACGGACCACCAAGCCTGGCTCAGGAAATATATCTGAAGGAATTACCTCAAATGGAGCCAGACAGGTAAACGGCGGAAACTAGGTAAGACAGGCCAGGAGAGGCAGAGCAGGGTGTGAGGGTCCCACACAGCTAACCGGAGCGGGCAGACGTGGTATTCGAGGCAAAGGACAGAGACGTCTCCTTGAGAGATGACAACAGTCTGTGATGTGTGCATGAAGAGATGTTGTCCCTCACTAGGGCTCTGTGAGGTGCAAATCATAACCAACACGAAGTAGTGTCTCACACTCACCAAACTGGAAGAAGTTCAGTGTCTGATGACACTGTGTGAGCAAACCTGGGACGCAGCTCACTGTCCACTCCTTCATTCAGGTCACTCATGACTGGGCAGCCGCGTCCCGGGAATATTCATGAGTCCTCGCCACAGAACCCGGGAGCGAGGGGGTCGGATCATAAAAGACCACGCAACCGGATGTACGCCCAGAGCTGGGGCAGGGCACAAGCGTGAGCCCCTCGCGGTGGGATAGGTGTGCCCCGGGCAGGCCCCCCGAGGAAGTGGCTGGTGCCAGGAACAGCGTCCTGACAGGGAGAAGCCAGTGGAGCTGGAGCAAGGAGAGAGAGCGGGACAGACGGCATCGTCTTACTGCTCTGCAGGGTCATTGCTTCTGACCTTCGGCGTGTGATTTGGGATTGGGGTGGAGAAAACTAGACAGGGGTCAAGATTGGCTCCCCAGGGGCCAAGGGGAAAATGGAGGAAACTGTTACATGTTAATGAGCGAACGTGTTAAGGAAGAGGCTCAAGTAATCAGTGAAACAAAAGGTAGAAAGAACTAAAAGACCAGCAGTTAATTATGAGAGGGAAAGCTCCGTGAGAAGGGACAGAGTTCTCAGTGACCAGGGCCTGGCCATGCTGCCGGGACCCACCCAAGGCTGGCTGTGCCGTTCCCAGCACACGGAGGCTCCACTCGGCTCTGCCTGAGTCTCCCAGCCTAGCAGGGTCCCCGGGTTTCTGAATCCTCCAGCCTCCCTGCAGTGGCAGCATTCAGAAGATACAGGGGGTGCCTTGCCACTGTAATGGTGCCCATCACAGCACAGCTCTGTGGTGCCCGGTTCCCAGGGCCCCCACCTCTGCAATGGCTGCGCTGGGGTGTAACAGGAGGGCAGCAATGGCCCACACGGAGAGCATGCAGCTCGAGAAGTCCTGGGTCAGTGCATACACGGGCCCAGCACCCTGGTGTTCCTGCCCACCCTGCCCTGTCCTGTCCTTCCCCACCCGAACTCCAGCAGCGCTATGGAAATCAGCATGGGGATTCCATTCCACCCAGCAGAGCTAAAGACATCACATTACAGCGATCTGTGCACTCTCACGTTATAGCAGCACGATTTATAATGGCAAAATCTTGGAAGTGGCCTACAGGTCCACCCACAGATGAATGGATAAAGGAAATGTGGAGCTCACGCACCATGGGGCACTACTCTGCCATAAAGAAGGATAAGCTTGAGTCATTGTAGCAGACAGATGCACCTTGTGGTCATAATGTTAAGTGAAATAAATCAGACACAAGCTTAGATGTCCATGGTTTCTCTTACAGGAGAAACCCCAAATACCAACAAAATGAAAGAGCTAAAAACAGCATAGATAATAGAAAACAGAGCCATAGATCTTTCGCAAATGGGAAGGGGTCCAGGGGTGGGAGGGACACAGCAAGAACTAAGCTGTGTTGTGCACGTCAGCAGCTCCCTGCCGAGGAGCGGTGTCACTGCGTACTGCAGACGTGGACTCACACAGATTAAAGCCTCTCGGGTTTACGTGGAGCCTCCCTTCCACCAGATCGCCGCGGGCTCGTCGGCGGGGCGTGGGATCTGTACAAAGTGCTGTGTGTGGCCCAAGCCCCGCGGTGATGTGGGCACCCGTGGGATAGAGCCCAGCAGGCCGCACAGTCCGCTCTCGTCCCTGGTGTCCCCCACAGATCCCACGTGCGAGGAGGAGCAGGGGGACGAGGACGAGGGAATGGTGACCAGCGGCACCGCCGTGCAGAGCATCGAGCTGGTGCTGCCGCCCCACGCGAACCACCACGGAAACACGTTCGGGGGCCAGGTCATGGCGTGGATGGAGACGGTGGCCACCATCGCTGCAAGGTTGTGGCATTGGCCAGGGACCTGGGGTGGGAGGGTGGAGACCCAGTCGTTCGTCTTCCTGGGGATCAAGGCACAAGCAGGGAAGGGTTGCCATTGATCCAAAGGAGGAAATTATCAACCGTTTGACCATTTACCTTAGGGTTCCTTTTTTCCTTTCTACAAAGGTGACTGTTTAGGTCCCTGGCCCAACGATAAAACGGGACTGAGAGCTTTAACACTTTATTCTAATTATGAATGTCGATCTCACCACACTGAAACTCACCGTGGCAATGTGCTTGACCAGCCAGGCGGGGGATGGCAACGGAAGACACCTTTGCACTAAAAAAATAGTCCAGCTTAGTCTATGGCTCAGGGCTGTGCTCTATCCCCCACTGAGAGCTCTTGGCCAAGCCCCAGCCCAGAGACACGGTGCTTCCCACCGACTGCAGCCACCTGCAAAACCAGGCTCAGAATGCACCGCCGGGACTCACTTCACTTGAGTAGAGTCTGAGACGGGTGTGATGATGCGCGCTTATAATCCCAGCACTCAGAAGGCTGAGGCAGGGGGACTGACACCAGCCTGAGCCATGAGTTCTAGGGCCCTGTATCACAAAAAACAAACAAACAAAAAAGCAGGCAGGTTGCTGGGTACCTGCTCAGTGAGCCAGCGGCTGTGGGAATGCGCGTCCCTCCCCTCCCATGTGCCCAGCCGCCTGTGCCGAGCGCACACCTTCCTGAAGTCCGTGGACATGTTCAAGTTCCGGGGCGCCTCCACCATCGGGGACCGGCTCTTCTTCAGCGCCATTGTCAACAACACGTTCCAGACCTGGTAAAGAGCGCTGTTTCACTTCAGCTCAGAGCTGAGTGTAGGGACCACTTTGTTTTTCGGTTTTTCTTCGTACCAGACATTGTGCAGTGCAGGGTGATCACCTCCGCTCGGTTGCAGGGAGCCTGTGTGTAGTCTCCTGCCCTCCTTCGTGCCCACCCTGGCCCTGCCCGTTCCCGCCCCTCCCTCCCGTTCTAGTCCTTAAAGGGTCTGCCTCCCTGCCTCCTAGCATTTATCTTTCATCGTGCTCTTTATTTATATGCTGAGGTTCTCGTGGAAGGGAAACCCCGTGACAGCTCAGCTCCTGTGTCTGATTTTACTTAACATTATGGTCCAGAGGTGCCTTCATTTCCCTACGGATGACTCAGTGTATCTGAGTATCTGAGCGGTAAACTCGCTCTTCTGATTTTCTAAAGCCTCACTCACTTGATAATCCGTGGCCACACGTTTGAGCCCAGCTGCCCCGGGCCCTCCGCACACGAGGAAACTGTGGGCCTCTGGGCCTCGGTCCCGTGAGGAGGCGGCAGTGCCCGCTGGCCCAGGACGGTTCTGCGCTGTGCCTGTCATCCTAGCCCCATTATTCATCCTCCCTGCTCATGGAGGCGGCGGGCAGGGAGGCTACCACCCCTGTCCCTTGCAGTGTGGAGGTCGGGGTGCGCGTGGAGGCCTTTGACTGTCGGGAGTGGGCCGCGGGCCGAGGCCGGCACATCAACAGCGCCTTCCTCATCTACACCGCTGTGGACGACCGGGCGGAGCCTGTCGCCTTCCCCAGGATCAAACCCGTTTCCGAGGTCGGTTGGCATCACCGGTGCGGCGGGAACCAGGCCGGGCCTCAGCGCGCCAAGGCGGGCACCGCCAGCCTTTGCTGCGGGTCCTTTCCTGCCTGACCAGTGACCCGCCCAGCCAGCCTGGCCTTTCTCCCCCTCGCCTCGCCCCAGCTTCTCTTCCCTCTCCTCCCTCCCTTTCCCCCCTGTGGGTCTGGTGACCTGTTGAAGTGAAGGAGACCCTGGCCCCTCGCCTGTAGGCAGCCGTGTGCTGCCGTGGGCGGGTGTGGCCTCCGTGTCCCTTTCCTGGGTTCCCCTCTGTGGCCTTGTCCGCGGGAGTCAACGCCTCACCATGTTCACCTCCGATGCGCTTCCCTCATCCAGGCCTGCCGGTGGCTGGCGCTGCCTTGGTCCCGGCCTGAGAGGCTGTGCTCTCCTTCCGGGGGAACTGCAGGCCCCTGGTCCCTGCCTCGCCTCCCTGGCTTCAGCACGGCCCTGATGGGCGCCAGGGCCCCAGCCCCGTTCCCACCGACTCCGGAGAAGGAGCTGAAGGACTGGACCCGAGATGTCAGAGTCTGACCCATTGTATCTCCTTGCAGGATGACTTCAGACGCTACCGGGGAGCAATCGCACGCAAGAGAATCCGTCTAGGCAGGTGAGGGGCGTGGTGTGAGGACTTCCAGAACCTCCCTCCCTCCCTTCCCTGACTGGCTTTGTAACAAACACTGCCTGTCGGGGAGAACCAGGTCTGAGGCCTCACCCGCGGAAGTGCTGCTTCCTGGCTGTGCCGCTGGCAAAGCAGCTGTAACACTGCCAGTCGCAGCTCTCGGAGGTGTCGTGGTGCCTGTCATGTGCCACGTAAATGGAAGAGAACTGATGTCATCATGTTAAATCTTTTCCAGGAAATACGTCATTTCTCACAGAGAAGAGGTTCCCGTCTTTACGCACTGGGACACGAGCAAGCAGGTGAGGGTTTATGATTCCTCTAGGCAGAGAGCAGGCACGTGAGGAAACGGCTCTGCTTGCCCGGCCACGGGGCACTGCACAGCTAGATCAGAGTGATCGCAGCAGCCTAGGTTCAGGCTGAGACAGGACCCTGGGCTCCAGACTGGGCACAGCTGCTGACCCGTCTCTTCTGACATCTCCTGCCCCTGCCACCACTCGGTTCAGTGTGACCTAGTGTGTATTCAAGATTTGCACTGACATCATGCCCATGAGCTTGCACTTTTAGAAAAACGAAATGTAGTGGTCATTTGACTAGTTTTAAACAAACTGTAAAGGGAAATCCCAGTTTACTTATTACTCATCAGTTATAAATCAAAACCTGTAATCTCAGGACTGGGGAGGCTGAGGCAGGAGGATCACCAGGAGTTCAAAGCCAGCCTGGGCTTCATAGTAAGTTCAAGGCCTACCTGAAGTACACAGCAAGACCTTGTCTCAAAAATCCCCTAAAGGGCCTGGGAATTAGCTCAGCAGCACTGCACCTGGCTCAGAAGTGCAAGGTCCTCAGTTCGATCCTTGGTACAAAAAAAAAAAAAAAGCCCCTAAAATTATTTCTAAAAATAAGTTAATGACTTAAGGATACTCTATCCTTGCTCAGACCATCAGTTAAAATGATACTAATGTGCTAGGCCTACAGTTACAGTCAGACTTCGAAATTCCGAATTTGAGATAGAAATGATATGTTTGCTGCAGCTCAGTTCTAAGCCCGTGATTCACGTTGTGGATCCGCCTGTTCTCCAATCTTGCATTCTAGGAATCCCTGAGTGAAGGCAACGTGGAGGCACTCAGAGAGCTGGCGGCCAAAAGCGGCTGGGAAGTGACCAGCGCCTTGGACAAGGTAGGGGTGTGGGGCATGGCTCCCCGCTGGTCAGCCCTTCCCTCCCTCCAGCCGGGTACTGCGTCTCCATGGAAACCGTCAGGAGGCCGTCTTCCGGCCCAGACTGTGGCCGTCCATCCAGTGGAGCCCTCACATGGGCCCTCCTGCCTGCCTCCGGCGCTGGTCCTCTCGTCCCCTCCGTCTCCACCTGCTCAAAGCCACCAGGCCTCCAAGAGCAGGCAGATCGGCTCCATAAAGCCGCTCCTCACTTACCACCTCCCCTCCAACAGCTCCTTCCGTCAGCTCTTCTTGGAAAGTAATCTGACAGCGCATTCTGTCCCTTCCGTCGCTGTGACCTGACGCTAAGCCCTACGGGGCAGTTGAGGTTTTCCGTGCTCTTTCCCTGCCTGGATGGTAAACCATTAGCCCAGAAGCTGTCTTCATTTCCTTACCTCTCCCTGCAGCCTCTTGGTGTTCCGGCTGCGAGTTACTAGCAGGCCCTGGGCAGCCAATGTGCACGGGAAACAAACTGGTCTCAGGGCCACTGGTGCCCACCCTGTCCCCAACCGCAGCGGTCCAGGCTCTGGCTGTGTGCATGGAGTCACCACATAAGAGAGTTGGCCAGTGGCCTGGGCCTCTGTGACGCCCTGTGCTGCACCGCGCAGTAACTCCCACTGTGCTCAGTAATTCCCACTACACTCAGGGATTCCTAGAACTGTAGTGTAACTGGATGACAGACCGCCCCATGCTGAAATCCAAGTCCAGTCCACCCTGTCGGCTCGGTGCCTCCCTAACCTTGACCCTTCTGCCTGTTTCTTTCTGCATGGGGTCTGCTGCTTCCTCTGCCCTGCTGAGCCCCCTGGGTCCCCTCACTGCCGAAGGTCAGTTCCCGCCGGGTTTGTGCCTGGGTCTGAGGCACAAACACAAGTCCAACAAAACCCAGTGTCGGTCTCTCTTCACCTCCCGGAAAGATGCCTCAAAGTGTTTCTTTCGCGGGTGACTGTGGGCCTTGCTTCATCCTGGCATCTGCACAGCATCGGGCAGCCCTGTCTGGGAGGAAGCAAAGGCATAGTTTGGGGAAGGCCTGGGCACAGGGAGTCATGGCCAGAAAGAAACACAGCCATGTTTCACAACTTTTACGGTTTTTTGTTCCTGGGTTGTTTGCTTGCTTTGAGACAGTCTTGCTCTGTAGTTCAGGCTGGCCTTGAACTCACAGTGATCCTGCTTCAGCCTCTCAAGTGCGAGGATTACAGACATGCACCACCACACCCAGCTATGTACTTAACTGTAAAAGAGGGATCTTGCATTTTTTTCTGTCACCTTTTAGTTGAATAATTTAGTTGAAACACAAGTGTCGGTTAGCTTATTTTGTTACTGGATGGGTGTGAGGAGGTTTCCCCAAGAGGAGACAGGGAACCTATCTCACAATAAATTGTAGGTTCCCTGCCTTCCGTCACAGGAAAAGAATTTTCAAGATATGTCAGAAAGAGAATCTAAAAGTCTACGTGCAGAGAGACTCGAATGTGGGCCTCAGAGAGAGGCCCTGCGGCCTGGAGCTGGTTGTGTTTATGGGGGGCTCCCTGAGATGAGTGACACAGGGTGTGTGTCCTGCTGTCTGTCCAGCCACCCACTCTACCATGAGCTTTCTGGAGGACACAGAGCAGTTTATAGGTGAGCATCTCAGCCCAGGCTTCTTGGGTCTTTAAGACCCTCAGGCATTTTTTAAGGTGAGTTTCCTGGAAGGGAAAGGGATCCAAATGACCTCTGTGCCCTGAAGAACAGTTTTTACATTGTAATATGTCTTATCCCCTTCCTCGTAGCCTCTCTTCCATGCTACCTCAGTTTCAGGTTTTCATATAGACACAGAAGTACCTTGGTTCACAATGCTTCTGTTCTAGAACAATTTGGTTCACAAACAGAAGTGTTTGGCAAAACTTTGCTTCTGTTCAGGAACTTGGTATCAGGCAATGAACTCAACCTTGGCCACCTTTCCCAGATCATGGATGGATGAAGTTCTCGAGGCAACTGAGCCCCCACTGGATTTATTTCTAATCAAAACCTGATATTTGTAATGAAATGGGACAGTCCTTAAGATTTTTAGCTCAAATTTTATTTCCTGTCTAAAATGATGGAGCTAACGGTAATAGTACAAGAAGGAAGAGATGCAGTGTGGAGACCGCGAAAATCCACGGCACTGTGGAAGTCAGGGTTTGTAACATAGCTTATCAGCGCAAGGGAGACTGCAGTGTTTAAGCAATAAGGTCAGCTCCTGGGCAGTTTGGAGTTCAGGCAGATAGACACTCGGAAAGGACCCCAGGAGCTGGGATTCTCAGCTCTGTGATATTTGGAGAAGGCTTTCAGAGGCCGAAGGTGCTTTCCAGGCATGTGGCAGCTCTGCTGAGTCTTCCTGGTGGCAACAGAGTAAGGGACTGGCCTGTAGAAGTGGCTTTTTCTTTAAGGAGTAGCTGAGATTGTGCTGGGCAAATCAGAGAATCACATGGACAGCATGGACCCCAGAAGACCTCTGGCTGGGACAGGACACCACTGCAGGAAGCAGACCAGCGGGTCTCTTCTCGCTGGAGCCGGGAGGGCTGGGCCCAAGGCACCACCTGCTGACCCACCCCTTAACCCAGTCCCTCCAAGGGAAATCAAGATTTCCCTGGGGTTCTGTAAAAACCAGCTTTAGCCCACTTCCCACTGTGAAGCACCTGCCCATACATTGTACAAAAAAAAAAAAAAAAAAAAAAAAAC